AGAAAGAATATTGTATACATAATAAATAAAATAAATAAACATTAAAAAAAAACTGTTCCCAGCATTAGTCTGCTTACCAATCACAGTAACCTTACAAAATGGTGACACCAGGACAGGCAAGCTGAAAACCTCAGCAGATACTCAGAAGGAGGAAGATGAAGAGAGAGGAAGCCATGTCTTTGGAGTTAGTGTCAAAGAAAGCAGACAAACTCAACAATGAAGGTCAGCAACCAGTCACATGGCAGAAGAGGGATGGGAGCCTCAATGAACGAGTGAGAAAAATAAAAACGGGTAGATAAAAAATGAAAAAGTTATGGGCAAACCATAGTACTAGGTTCTCTGCCCCACCCCTCTAGTAAGTTTCTCAGCAGTAAGCCAAATCAAGCCAAACTGAAGAAGTATAACAACAGGTTTATTGAGAAAAGCAGCTCCCAGGCAGGATCCCCACTCCCAGAGATTGAAGCCAGAGAAGTTGCACGCCCAACCTAAAGCAGGGAGAGTTTATAGATTATAGGCAAGGAGTCATGATGTGTCACCACAAGCTGGTTGTGCTCAAGTATGGTCAAAAGCTGATCGGTTAGGTGGGGATTAGGAGGCTGACAGCATTGAGGTGGGGGAGTTGTAACAGTCACTGAGAATGTGGAACTGGGCTTTTCGATGCCTTTCCTTTATTTAGACTCTCTGAGTGGGCAGGGTTTGGAGACAGAGAGAGAGGCAGGAATGGGTAGCTCTGAACCATGCAGGGGCAATCCAGAGGGTCTAACACAACACAGTACCACATAGAAGAAGCTCTGCATGCAACTATGTGGAAGGAGAATTTCCAGAAAAGAAGAGGACATTATCTCATTAAGGGGATAATTATTCCTCCCATAGCCTTGGTATGACATTAGGTGAATCGGCCTTCCTGGAAGGTGATCTCCTGGCCAGGTTACTAACAGACCCAACAGCCTAATGCCAAGCAAGCATCCCTCAGTCCCTACCTGTTGCAGAGCATGGCCAGTATACCCTACCCTCTATCCTGAACTCTGCAGCCCAGGGGCTGAGCTGCTCTTCCCCCAGAGGCTCTTCCCTATATGATCCAGACATTTTGGTTAGCTGCCACTTTTTGGACCTTTGGCCTCCTGGCTGCTGCTCCTGGTTCCTCTCTCTGCCCCCTCCTCACAAGGCCGGCTCAGTCTGGTCATGTCCATTCTGGACTTTCCCAGATGTCCCTGCCTCTGGCTATGCTCTCACACACATCTATAATAAACTTCCTCCTCCACCATATAGAGGAGTAGTCATGTCCATTCATTTCCCTTTTATTTCCTTTTGTCGTTCGTTAAGACTTGAGGTCACATACAGTGAGGAAGGACACAGGGTTTCTGAGCTCAGAGTCCAAGTCCCTACTGATCAGCTCACCTTGTGTGAGGGTTGCTGTAATAATTCCATGGTGATTTAAATAAATGTTTTCTGCAGGCTTGGGTATTTCAACACTGGGTTCCCAGGGCTGACTGGGGAGGCTTAGGAGAGCTAGCCTTGCTAGAGAATGCATATCACAGCGGATGGGCTTCCAGCGTTCATAGCCTCACCCCCACCTGCAGTTTGCTCTCTCTGGGTCGTGTTTGTGGTCAAAGATGTAAGCTCCCGGCTTTCTGTTCCATCACAGCCTGCCACTTGCTGTCACACCTCCAGGCCATGATAGACCCATATCTCCCTGCATAAGCTCAAATAAACTCTTTCTTCCATATGTTGGTTCTGGTCATGGTTGGTTTTATCACAACCACAGAGAAGTAGCTAATATACCCCAAGCGTAACAGAAAAGCTCTCTAAGAAGGCAAGTTCCATCTGGGCCTATGGCCTACTCCCCACCAATCTATCTGTGTTGGTGGGGCAAAGTTAGGATGGAGACCAGGTGGACTTGACAGAAGGAAAGGCAAGAAATTGACAAGACACTTGTTAAACAATAAAACTCTAATGATGGTACGAAGAGAAAAGGGTACCACTGCAGATGAGCAGGAGGCCAAGTCCTAGAGAGGCCAGGCCAGACCACATAGGGGCCATCTTCTACACCAGGTGAGCACTGGGAATGGCCTACCAGGCCATGGGTTTCCAAACTGTGTTTTCTCTGTTCTGGTGCTTTAACAATGGCACCTTTGATGAATGAAGTCCAATGAAGTGCAAACACACCAGTTGCAGAATCTAAGCTCCTGCAGAAGGAAGTGTGGCCACCACAGCCCATCCCCAGAGAAGCAGGACTCTCGGGGGTCCAGCTGTAAAGCTTTGGACAGTTAGAATCAGAGTGGGGGAGAGGAGAGGAAAGGGGCCACTAACAGGGAGGCGCAAGGAGAAATGAGGGAGTGACAGGCAGTGCAGAGCTTTTTTTTAAATGGTTGCTCATGATGTAGCCCAGGCTGGCTTTGAACTTATGGCAATTCCCTTGTTTCGGCCTCCCAAGTTATGAGATTTCAGGCATATACCCCAAGCCCAGTGTGTGTGTGTGTGTGTGTGTGTGTGTGTGTGTGTGTGTGTGTGTGTTCGTAGAGGTTACTTCCCAGCTTTTCAGCTAAGACCAAATGTGATGTTTGACTACAAACACCACAGTCCCTACAGTGCTAAGCCCATTGCTCTGGGCAGGGAGTCTCAGAAGAAAGGGATGGCGGTTCTCTTCTTCCATTTTACCACTACAGGTTAGCAAGATGTCCAGGATCTACCCAGAAATATGCAGTCATTTCAAGAGAAAAAAGCTTTCCATTTATGACAAATAAATCAATTTTTTTTTTCTCTGTAAAACTAAGCCAGCTCCTGTTTCTGTCATTGCATCTGACCTCTTAGGGAGATTTCTCACAATGATCAATATCACTGGCAGAACACTTACTTGTTACCTGCAGACCCTGTGCTGGGCATTTTACACTTTCAGTCCTCTCTGGAACCTGCCATGGACTGGCTAGTCACTCTCACACTCTCGTCCACCAGGTGAAACCTGCAGAGGACCCTTCATGTCATCTGCCTTCCTCATTGCTTTCCTCTCTCACGCCTTCACTGGCTGTCAGCTCCTGCAGCTTCCAATTCTGTCGTCTTCTTGCCCAGCTGGCCCTCTCTACGACTTCACCCCCACCTTTGAGGGCCAGCTTGCTGTTCTCCCCTTCCATGGGTCCCCGGGTTGAGCGCCATCACTTGATGAGAGCCCCTCTCTGATTCCAGCCATTGGCAGAATGCTGGGCCTGCACCCGCTGGAATATCTGCCATCCGTGCTGTGGCGATTGTGCAAGCGTTAGTTTCCTCTGCAGGGCAATAGGAGCTCTGAGGGATGTGCTAGGAAAGCCTCAGGACTAACAATGTCTGGCACAGAATGAACACTCGGTAAGTGGCTGTTGAAGTCAGACATGATGTTGTAATTCAACACTCCATAAGGAAAAACAAAAGAAAAGGCTGTTGAATTATGACTGATATAAAGAATAAGAGAAAGTTTAAAGCTTATTAGTTTCAGACATTAATTAACATTCTAAAAATGCGAAGTGGTGCTTTTCAGATGTGCGGTTCCTGTTGACCGACTTCGGCTTTCTCTCTGCCAGGCTTCTAATAGCACGTCCTGCCTGGCTGCTGTAGAATAATCATTGTTTACGTCCCGAGTAATGAGCCCGCAGCTCGGCAGAACTCAGAGTCACCGTAAGAACACAAATTGCATTCGGTGGGATTTCAACTGTGACAATCGCTTTGTGCTCAGCATGGCAGACCAAAGACTGGGTGTTAGGCCAGCAGAGGCCACCTGGTTGCCGTGTGAGGGAGGAGGCGGTCTAGCAGCTGTTGTCATGGCCACTGATACGGCATTCTTTGGTCACAGAGTATGGTTTCAGAAATCTCTCGAAACTTGAAATTCTTATTTAAAGAGAAAAAAAAACAAGTGTGGCAATACATGCCTATAACCCCAGCACTTAGGAAGCAGAGGCAGGAGGATTGCTGAGAGTTGAAAACCAGTGTGTATTATATAGTGAATGTAAGGATAGTCTGGGATCCAGCCACTTAAATGTTTCCTTGATGATCATACAGCTCAAAAGTCTAGAGAAAATAATCCAGTGGTAATTTTTAAATTCAATTTATGCTGATTTTCCTCTTTTGGCCTCTTTTTTCTTGATTATTATTGTTACATATATTTATATGGGTGACAGTATTATATATAATATCATTACAATATATATAATGCTAATATATATAAATACAACCTACTGGGTCCATTTAGTGTTGCTCATATGTGTATTTTCAGGACTGACCACTTGGCGTTGGATAACCAATTAGGGCTCCATTCCTGAGAAAGACCCAGTCTTGGCAATCATTAGCTGCCCATAGCTCTTCATCTCAGGCATCCACACTCACTTGCTCATGAGACCAAACATTTTCATTCTCTGATGCTGTGCCTGGTTTTCTCATGGTTACCAAGATCTACAAAGTCTTCTCTCCCGTGGCCTCCCACTCTGCATGCTTACAACGTCCTGTCCTCATCCGGGGAAAAACATGGAGTTACAAAAGGCTTGCTGGGTGGTGGTGGGTCAAAATGATTTATTTTGAACCTAACTAAATATTAAATCTAACAGGAGTCAAGAAAGAGGATATGTTTTTTTCCTTTTTCTTTTTTCTAATTTGAACTTCAGTCAAGTTCTTTTTCTTTTTCACGATGGATAAGTGTATAAAAAGACAATGATAGTGAAAATATAAAACCCTGAATGGAGCTCATGGCTTCAGAACCACCACGCCAACTCTATAGGAGTTTGCTAAGATATACAGAGTTTAGGGCTGAGCAAGTGCTTGGGTTACTTCCTTAAACCAGCTGGATGATGTGCTCATCAGTGAGTCAATTAGAATAATTGGTCCAAGGACCCTGAGACGGGGAGGAATGAAGGACCTCACACCTTCCTCCCAGTTGACATCAGCCACTTGGATGCTAATACCTGAGAATTTTCTGCCACAAGGCGAAGCAAACAGTCCATGAAAAACACTTTTCGAAGAGAAAAGCCCTTTATACTCACCTCAGGGGTTTTCCCTTTAGACACTGGGAGACTCAGCCACAGAAGTTCTGTGCACGGATGGACTGAAGGAAGGGAGAGAGGAGAAAGGCATCAAGGGTCAAAGAGAAGAACCTGGTGGAATCAGCTGTGGCCAGTCCCCCCAAGGACCCCAGCGGAGGGGTCTAGGGCAGTTGCTTCCGAGTGACTCTTCTGCATGCAGACACAGAATGACTAAAAACAGACCCGAAGACCAGGGCCAAAGATGATGCTTACTAGGTCTCCTGGGAGCATCCAGACTTCCTCGAGTCCTTGGTCACACATCGGGAGCAGTACTATGGCAGGAAGCAAACGCTGACAGAATCCAGGCTAAAGCTACGGCTCAGTAGTTCAGTGAAATAACAGACCTGTCCTAGGGGGCCTGAACTGTGAACTGATCCAGTCTAGAGCCACTGGAAGAGAGTCTCAGTCGGGGGAATTGCTCGGATCAGAATGGCCTGTGGGCGTGTCTATGGGCAATTGTTAATGCAGGAGGACTCTGCCCACTGTGAGTGACACCATTTCCTGGACAGGTGACACTGGGCTGCCTAGGAAAGCTAACTGTGAGCCTGCGAGCCTGTCAACAAGCCACATTCTTCCGTGGCTTCTGTTTCAGGATCCGGCTGAGTTCCTGCCCTGACTTCTCTCAGACCTGGAAGGGTGAGCCACAGTAAACCCTGTCCTCTCATAAGTTGCTTTTGATCAGGCTGTCTTGTCACAGCAGCAGAATAAAACTACAACAAGGTCCCTGAAGAAACTTCCAGAACAGAGTAACCAAAGCTGATCTCAGTGCCACAAGGGACACAAAGGGCTGACACCCAGAGTCAAGCCTGAACCCCACCAGCAGCCTCCCGCCCAGGAGAAGGCAGGCAGTACTCAGTGGGCCTTCGCTAAGGCTTTACCCTTCCACTGGCCTGCACAGTCTCATCCTCTGATGGACCACACTTTTATCTTCCCAAGAGGAAGAAAAGCTGAGCATGGTTGTTACATTCCTGATTAAAACTTCCGCGTCAGACTCCAAACCTCCGGGCATCTACTGAGAGGCAACAGCCGAGACGTTTATGGACTGGAAACAGAGGGATGGGGGAAAGGCACAGTATCACAGTTGTGCTTTCCGTGTAGATGGCGACTTCTTTCATGTCCTGCTGGGGGACACGGGTGGCTGAGCCAACTGCCTCTCACAGGCTGTTAATGGCACCACACACAGAGGTGCCCCGTGGACTCAGCACCACAAAACAAACGAAAGTTCCTGCTTCATTTAATCTCGCTGCAACCCGAGGGCACGGAACTATTTTTAAAATAAAATACATGATTCTAATTAACCCACAAACAAAGCATCACAAAGCTAGTTTAAGGAAGTGTGGTGGCTTGAATGAGGTATCTTTTGTAGTCTCCCACACTTGAACTCCTGGTTCAAGTGGTGGTGCTGTTTAGGGAGGTTTAGGAGGTGTGGCCTTGAGTGAGGAGGCTAGCCACCGGAGGTGGGCTTTGTTCTCTTCTGCTTGCTATTCAGGATGTGACACTCAGCTTTCTGTTCCAGTTGGGATGCCTTTGTTCCTCCATCACGATTCTCAACTCTTTCTTCTGTAAGTTGCCCTGGTCATGAGGTTTTGTCAGGGAGATAGAAAAGGACCTAATACGGAGCTGTTCAGACACTTGCCCAGTCCCGAACCACACATCTCAGTGGACTTCCTCACAGTTAGGAGGGCCATTCTAAAGCAGGAAAGCTCCGCTTAAGGTTCTGCGCTTTCACTATCAATCACTTTATTAGTCACTTATCTGCCACAAAAAGAGAGAGCATGAAAGAATCCACGACAGAGCTGAAGCTAGAAAAAGAATCCTTTCTTTTCTCTATATATCTGGTTTAATCATCATTGTCTATGTGAGCAATTCAGGTTTACAGAAACTATGTAATGTGAAGGAAATTTAAAACATGAAGTAAGAGAATGCCAAGAGAAAGGTGATTGGAGTGCAAGCTTGGTGACCTGAGTTGGAGTCCTGAAACCCTCCTAAAGGTGGAAAGAGAGAACCAAGTCCACAATGTCCTCTGGCCACACCTGTATGGTGTGCTCCCCCATACATCATGAGCACACACACACAGTAGTAATAGCTATATATACATGGACCTGAGATGCAGCTGGAATGCTTCCTGTCTTAATACGAGTAACAGAAACAACAAAACTGCAAGTTTTTAAACAAAAGGCTTATGTCTTCTGGTATGGGAGGTCCTTATGTCTATGTGTTGCTTTCATTGGTTAATGAATAAAGAAATCGCCTTGACCTGTTGATAGGGCAGAACTTAGGTGGGTGGGGAAAACTAAATGGCCTGCTGGAAGAGAGGAGGCAGAGGCAGAGAGGAATGCCATGGAGCCACCAGAGACAGATGCTGGGAATTTTATCCAGTAAGGCACTGCCACATGGTGATACACAGATTACTAGAAATAGGTTAAATTAATATAAGAGTTAGCCAATAAGAAGCTAGAGCTAATGGGCCAAGCAGTGTTTTAATGAATATGGTTTCTGTGTGATTATTTCTGGGCTAAGCTAGCCAGGCGGCCTGGTCGAACAAGCAGGTCCTCCTCCTACAGTCTTCTTTTTCAAAAGACTTGTGTCTTTTACAAGTTCTACTTTCTCTTGAGTTCATGAGACGTTGGAAGGAAGTGCATGAGCACACAGTAAAAGGTAGAAAACAGTGGGTGTTGCCATGAAGTCACATAGCATTCCTGTAGACATCGCTACCACGTCATTCACCAGAGCAAAGTTGGATGCTTCACCAAGGCAAGTGGCCCAGGCCATTAGGGCATTTCCTACTCAGTCTGTCCTGTTCAATCCACTTCAGTTGCCTACGAGATTCTTCCTGCACTTCCACACGTCCCATTAGATACCACGTGCTTGCCATCTAATACACACAACAGCTAGATGAAGACAGGGTTGAATTATTAGACATTAAAGGTTTCCTGGCATTAGAGCTATAAGGCTTCTAATTGAAACACACATCCATTGCACTTATGTGATTTCCAAGACCCAGGCACTTGGAGCATAGTTGGGCAGAGAACATTATGTCCATTTTTACAGTATTTCAGTTCTGGGTCTAGAAAGATGTAAGTTAGAAGAAAGGCAGAAATCATATAAAATGGGGATAGAAAACTGAAGTGGAGTGGTTGTTCAGATTTTAAAAAGGAGAAATCGTATTTCTCTTCTGACCCACACAGCATAAGTAGCAGCCGTGCCTCACCCAGCTTGTGTAACGGGGTGTAACGGGGCCTTCAGTCGGTCCCTCGGGACTGTGACTTTCCTCGTGGCACGTGAGCACTGAGGCTATATTTTCAGTGATGTTTGGGTTCCTTTATCCACCATGACAGAGTTTGATGTCTGAGCATTCACGATGACACTGTGACCTCAGGACAAGCTGGGAACCAGATGGCAATGCCCTCCAGCTGGTCCATTTGCCCAACATTACAGACAGACAATCACTTGTCTATGAAGACATGTCCCCATTTGGCTCAGTCTAGTTGAAGTTTCAGGCTAAAATCCTTTGGAACCAAGGAACAAATGTAAAGTCTCACTGTTGGGGAGTAGACTAGAAGAATTTGAAGATAGATTCTGAATTTATATTTAATAGTATAATGGTAGTTAGGATTTCTATTGATGTGAAGAGATACCATGAACATGGCAACTCTTATAAAGGAAAACAATTAATTGGGTGGCTGCTTACAATTCAGAGGTTCAGTCCATTATTATCATGGTAGGACATGGCAGTGTGCAGGCAGACATAGTGCTGGAGAAGTAGCTGAGAGTTCTACATCTTGCAGGTAACAGGAAGTGAACTGAGTGTCACACTGAGTGACTTTTGAGCAATGGAGACCTCAAAGCCTACCACCACAGTGACACACTTCCTCCAAGAAGGCCATACCTACTCCAACAAGGCCCTACATCCTAATTGTGCCACTCCCTTTGGGGGGCCATTTTCTTTCAAACCCCCACAGGCATGCCACAGAAAGAACTCTGGGAGGGGGTTAGTATGGGGGTGCTACATGGAAGATTCAGGCTGGCTCCCAGAGTTCTAGGACTTCTCCAGGGGAGGAATACTTTCTGATGACTCACTAAGCTGCCAACTTGTTTTGTGTTGCTTCTGTGTTTATGCTTTTGGCAAATATTTAAAGGTGTCTTCAGTTTTCAGGACTCTGTAAGGCCTTGGCAGGTCACCCAGTGGGGCTAAGTGATCTGACTGGGGGATGGGGAGAAACTAAATACAAAAAAACTAAATTAAAAAAAAGAGGGCAAAATAACACTAAGAATGTCTGAAAAAGCTATAAGGAACCATAGTATTGACTGCTTTTCTTTAAAAAAAAACTCCTATAATACACATACGTCTGTGTACAAATATACACATAAAGTTAAATGAAAAGTTCTCATCTGAGATGGTAATGTTCCCTCTAAGAGCCAAAGGCAATCTGACAAAAGCCCCAACACCAAGCACAAGAAGCCCTCTTTGGAGTTGTTGGTCAGGGTTGTCCAAGAGACTCCTTAAAAATACAGTCTTATTGCTATTGCTGTTGGTTGCCCCCACCAGAGGTGGAAGGTAAGTTCCTATTTCTGGAGACACCATTCAGAGGTAGGTCTCAGAGGACCCCTAACTGGAACTGATTTGAAAGCCTCCTCCCTGAGGACTAGTTTTCATGGGACCAGAAGGTGCCACACAAGCTTCCAAGGGAGGGAAACAAGCAACAGTCCTTCCCAGCTACAGCTCTTATGAACCACAACATGGAATCAAATGGTACAATAACCCTAAAAGTGTAATTGTGGCACACATACCTTGGCTGTAACCAACAGCTTCTTAATTGGATTTAAGACTGTATCAACAAGAGGGAAGCCATGTGTGGTACTGGAAATATTCAACTACTCAGGGTTAATGAAGTGAAATAACCTTAAAACCAGCACTTTATGAAACCAGCAGAATTTCAGGAATAATGCCAGCTTGATCGTGGTACCAGGTCACAAAATGGGCCCCAAATGGCAGTTCTGTTAACAATGGTTTCTTACTAGGTAAACAGGAGTCCTATTGGGTAAACAAAAACCTAAACTCAGCATTCCTCAGAAACCTCCTCATGCTAGTTTCTGCTTGTTAGGAAAGCCCCTGCATTCCTTCTCTGTCCCTGGCAGTCAACTGTTGGGGACAACTGATATTTATATTATTATCGAAATGTATGTACTAATTGTGGTCATCATGATCTTTCATATTGTTGGTGTTTTTGAGATGAGAGCTGGACATGTTGAATTCTTCATCAGTTCTAAGTCTGATGCAGACAGAGCAGTTTAGAGCAAAGAGGGTGTGTGAGTACATT